ACTGTCTCCAGGATTGAAGACCACACAGTTTCTATAGGCAACCTAAGACCATGTTCATTTAAAGGAAACATCACATGTATTGCGTACACTTACCAGAAATATCTAGATGTTCTGTAGTGCTTTTCCTCACAAGTCAGGCTGCATTTGGCGCAAGACTTCACATAAGAGGTCAAAAAGGACCATAGTCATGAGCAGAGGAGAGAAAATGTAGATGTACACATAATGTGCGTACATTTTAGGAAAAAAATGGAAAAGTAGCTCTGAAGGAACTCTTAGGCTTTTATTCCCAACTACTGGAATTTAAATGTGTAGAACATTTCCAGACAAGTAAGCTCAATATGTGAGAGACTGTATTTTAGGAAATACACCTAGGCCTAAGGAAATCTGAATTTTGACAAGACCATATGCAAAGTTCTACTAAAAGGTAAGTAGAGGCAAACTAGGCCACTTCCTTCTGGGGCTTGCAATGGTTTGCCTGGCAGTCCATTGCTTCTGTAGTGGGTTTACGTGGCAAGGTTTTGGTAGCAGGGGCCATAGGGGTGGCTTCTGTCGGAAGAATCTAGAAGCTGCCCTGTGTTAGGTAAGGGCCCTGCTGCTGACCAGAGCCAAGCCAATAAGTGATGTTGTTTGCACCTCTGTGAGAGCATGTTTAAGAAAGGGAAACAAATACTGCATTGCACAGCAGCTGGGAGAGTGAGAGGAGCGAGAAACAGCCTTGCAGGCACCAAGGTCAGTGAAGGAGGAAGGGGAGAGGTGCTCCAGGCGCTGGAGCAGAAGTCCCCTGCAGCCTGTGGTGAGGACCATGGTGAAGCAGGATGTCCCCCTGCAGCCCATGGAGTACCACGGTGGAGCAGGGTTCCACGCTGCAGCCATTGGAAGACACTATGGTGGAGCAGGTGGCCCTGCACTGTTAGCAATAGGTAATAAATCTTACTATCTCCCTATGCTGAGTCTGTTTTGCCTGTCACAGTAATTGTTAAGCATTCTTCCCATCCAGATCTCTGGATGGCCCATTCAGTAGAGCATGGGACTCTTGAATCCCAGGGTCATGGGTTTGAGCCACATGTTGGGTGCCAAAAAGAACTGTGATGGTTTTACTTCGTGGGCAGCTGAGCTCCACCTCAGTGGCTCTCTCACTCCCCCTCCTCAAAGGGGAAGAGGGAGAAAATATGATGCAAGGAGCTCAAGGGCTGTGATAAGGACGGGAAGATCGCTCAACAATTATGACAGGCAAAAGAGACTCAACATAGGGAGATGGTAAGATTCATTGCCTATTGCTAACTAACAAGCTAGAGAAATGAGAAACAAGGGAAAGAAACCAAAAACACCTTCCCCCCCATCTGCCCTCTTCCTCCTCCTCCCCCTGAGCAGTGCAGGGGAATGGGGGTTATGGTCAGTCTACAGCACTTCATCTCTGCCGCTCCTTCTCGGTCACTGTCATCCCCTGTGCTGTGGGGTCCCTCTGATGGGATGCCATCCTTCCCAAACTGATCCAGCATGGGCTGCCCACAGGCAGCAGCTCTTCAAGAACTGCTCCAGGCATGGGTGTGTACCACAGGGTCCATCCATCAGGAGCAAACTTCTCCAACCTGGTTCCCCCATGGGCAGCAGCTCCTGCCAGGTCACCTGCTCCTGTATGGGCTCCTCTCACCAGCCTACAGGTCCAGCCTGGGGCCTGCTCCTGGGGGAGTCCTCCACAGGCAGCAGCCCCCGTCAGTGCAGGGCCACCTGCTCCACCATAGTGTCTTCCAATGGCTGCAGCATCAAACCCTGCTCCACTGCGGTACTCCATGGTCTGCAGGAGGACATCCTGCTTCACCATGGTCCTCACCACAGGCTGCAGGGGACTTCTGCTCCAGCGCCTGGAGCACCTCTCCCCTTCCTCCTTCACTGACCTTGGTGCCTGCAAGGCTGTTTCTCGCTCCTCTCACTCTCCCAGCTGCTGTGCAATGCAGTATTTGTTTCCCTTTCTTAAACATGCTCTCACAGAGGTGCAAACAACATCACTTATTGACTCGGCTCTGGTCAGCAGCAGGGCCCTTACCTAACACAGGGCAGCTTCTAGATTCTTCCGACAGAAGCCACCCCTATGGCCCCTGCTACCAAAACCTTGCCACGTAAACCCACTACAGCTTGTAATCTTTATTTGTTTGCAAGCTAAGCTATCTGAAGAATCAGGTCAGTCCATAATCAGTTTTTAATGAATATGCTAAAATCTAGATGAGCTGCGCTGTCATCCTGTGGCACGCAAGTTTCTGTGGCTAGAATACTCAAGAGCATCTTCAGTAGTTTCCTACTCAGGAACACCCAACACATAACACCTAAGTCAAGGACTTCAGTTCATTTTAGCAGAGAAATACATCTCCAGTGATTCATGTTAACTACAAGTTTCTTTGGAAAGAGGGGGGTAAATAGCATACCTAACATGAAAGATGGCAGATGCACTTCCACAAGAGTCATTTAAACATTGCCGTGACTTAGCATGAGCTTTTCTAGCAAAAAAGCTTGGAGACAAACAAAATCTACATATATATGTTATGGTTCCTTCAGTAAAATTAAAGGTTAAGTTACTGACAGGACATGCAATACAAGTGTCTATAAGTTCACCTGTGCTAAGTCCCCTCACCTCTAAGCACAATCCCCACATTTCTTTTTCTCAGTGCTGTTTAAAAAAGAAGAGGAAACCAGACTGTAGAAAACTTCTGAAGACAGCATTAGATATCTTCAGCTGCACCTTACAAAATAGATAGAAAAATTTATTTGTCACCAACTTGTAGAAAAATTCCTCCCCAGGGCTTTACAGTTCTAGCTATTCATGAGCATCTTAAAAAAAAAAAAACTAAAAACACCCTAAAACATTCTAAAGATTCGAAGATTCATGGTTTTAAAGTGGTCGAAAAATATCAATTGGTAAAGCAGCAATGCTATAGATGCATGGAATTACTAACTGTATTCCAGGAATTGTTCAGATAAACAAAGAACAAACCTAGTACTTTCTCCCAGTATTAATCCTACTCATATACTGTATTTCAGGTAAGTCAGGTAAGACAAAGAATTCACTTAAAAAGATAAAGCTTGGTTCAAATAGTTATCAACATAAGAAGGAATGTATTAAAAGCAACAAATGTTGATTTTTAAAAAGTGCTTCTATGGAACCTGCTTTGGCAGGGGGGTTGGACCCAATGATCTTTCGAGGTCCTTTCCAACCCCTTCAATTCTGTGATTCTGTGACCTTTAAACTTTTCAAAATTGATCATGTTCTGTGAGCCCAAGCTAAGCATGACTGTGGTTAGGAGCTAGAAATGACCCTGTCAAAACGCCAGTAAAAGCTTTAAGAGATTTAATGCATCTACCTTAAATATAAATATCTTGTATCACCTGCTTTGATGCTTTATGAAAAGGACACTATATATAAAGATACAGGAACAACTCCCATGGCTTAGTGATTTGAACTGGAACACCACCAGCTGCTGACAGACACAACACTGTTATACCATAATGATACAAAGACAGCCCTCAGTCTTGTTCTTTTTATGCATGATTTACTACCCCCGCTCATACGGCATTCAAAACCAACTTCACCTTTTCCACCTTCACATTAGAAAAGGTTGATACAAGAACAGTGAAATATTACAAAACATGATTAAAAACTGCCCTAGCTACAACCAATTAAGCAGTACTCCCCATACTACAAACTAGCATATGCACAAGTGCCAGAGCCAGCTCCAACAAGGCCATATTCTTGCACATTCCCTCACCACAACCCCCAGCTTGGACAATGAAATGCAGCCTCTGTGCATGAGTCCCAGTGTTCCAACACCCACCCAAGATACTGCTGCATGAACTACAAAAGCAGCATCACTGGTCAGAACAGTTATAGAAAACTGTGAAATTTACTTCCCCACTCAAAAGCATTCATTCTCCTAGCCACTTCTATAACAGACCTTGGTGATGCTTCCATGCTACACAGAAACAAGTACACTTTGTTTATTCACTACTTTTATTGTGAGCTTGAGACAGATTTTTCTTTTGAGATTGTCTGAAAGGGGCCCAACATGAGACAGCAGAAAGCATCAGGGTCACTACAGAGCCACTTCTTTGTGAGCTGTCAAGGAGTTCAACAGCCTCCCACTATCCACAGCTTGACCCTTCCATTGTAAGGAGTTGTAATGCACACAGGGAAAATCAAAGACAGGTGTTAAAATAGTTCCTAACAAGTGCCAGCACCTTCCCCATTACCTTCAATAATGAGAGGACCTGGAAGGAGAAAGTCACAGGGCCTTGTGGCTTCCCCAGATAAACACATCAGCCCCACCTGGTGCAATGAATTCAGTGGAACAAGGCAGGTGTACATTCCCTAATGTTGCCAAAAAAGTTACCATCAAATTACTAGCTCTAGGCTAACATTGGCAAGACTTATCAGGACTCACTTCAAAATAGTTTTAGGTCACCCCTAGAACATTATAACTGTAAGTTGGAAAATATTAACATTTTTAACCTGAAGTTCCTGTAAAATAAAGCTTCCCTTAAAAAACAAATTCAAAGGCCTGCTAGTAAAATAAGTGGAAAAACATTTACGGGTTTAGGGACTGCCACATGAAGAAAAAGCTACGCATACATCCAAGAAGTCCTCTGGCTAGAGAAAAGCTATACTACTAAAATTAACATTACAAATTTCTAAGAAAGTTGAACATTTTTCCTAGATGTGTGACATGGGAACTCTGCAAAATTCCTTGTGCAAATGCAAAGAGAACATCCCAATTCTTAAGACTTTGGAGTTTGTAAGTAGAGCCTGTAAGAGAGCAGCTTGTGATCCAAGAGGCAACAGAAAGCCTAAGCATAACTAGTTTTAAACAGCTACCACCATCAAAATACAATCTTAAAGAACAATTCTACTCTGCAGAAACAAGCCTAACTCATTCTAATCTTCTGGTGTGGGTTTTAATCTTCTAGTTTGGGGTTTTCCGGTGGACTATGTTACTCAATAACTACAAGCAGCCTTAACATTTGTATTTATTTTTTTATTAGGTTTATTATGACTTAGTTTCTATTACTCCAGCTGGGTAAACCACATTTGAGTAAGTTTAACTGCAGGACTTCAGTTTCAGCCAAAATCATTTTTGCATTACTTTATTGTAATATAGCTTTAAATTTAACATTTAAAACTTACTTCATTAATAAGCAAGCCAAGCTCAGTAGCTTCAGTGCAGGATGTACTGTATGTAACTTGCCGCACATTCATGTTAGATTTGATGTACATGGAGAAGAGACCGGTCAACTATACGATTCATAGGAGAAAGCAAAGTAAGCACCTTTTTTTTTAATAATCAAAAACAGTTCTCAAATCAGTGTTTCTTACATAAAGTCAACTTGTTTCTGGCTCCAGGAGCCACAGTTTGGATAACAGCAAAATGCTATTTTTCCACATCAATTTTCTACACTAGCACAGGAAATCTTCCAAGCAATAGGTACTGGGCTTTAACTTTTGTCATCTTGAGACAATCTGTCCTCCCTGTGTTTATCAGGTAAATACATGCATTTTTGATCATTGTGGCAGAGGTTAACAGAGCAAATAAAGGGTACTAAAATGGGAAAACAAACAAGTTGCCAAATACTTTAAGGTACAGCTTTAAAGTACAAGCAAAACTATTACTGCAACTAGTTTAATGTTTTCTCTCAAAAATGGCACAAACCAAATAAAAATAGATAAATTTTGTTTTATGTGGTGCTAGACTGAAATAATGCTTCAGAATATTAATAGAATTTAACTGCAAGAAAGAAATAATTGAAAAGGCTCTGTCTATTTGGGCTAGACCAGAAGCACTGCTGTATGCAGAACTCTGACACCAGTATGTTACCTTTACTATATGTAATAGTAAAGTGTTAGAAGCTGCAGAGCATAAGCATCTTAATTGTACAAGCCAGTTAATGAACAAACAGAATAGATGAAGAATAGTTTCCACATGTGTCCTCTATGTTCACAATTCCAAACCTGTGATTCTCCTTTTGGGACAAAAATCCTTCTCTCAGCCAAATAAATACTAACATTTAGATACTATCTTATTTCAAAGTCCCAGTTGAAAGTGTAGCCTCCAGATGAATACTAGTTTTATGCAGTATTAATATTTTACATAAAGTCTTATGAATCGTAGTTATTAGCAGTAACTGAAAGTAACGTATACTCAGTCTTCAGGTGATGTGCAAGTTCAGCTATGTAACACAGGTAGGGAGTTTTGAACAGTTTTTACTATCTTGCTTTGGAAAGATCTTACATTTGCCCCATAAACTACAAAAGCTCTAGCTATAATATTGTGCAACTCTGTGCAACTGTTGACACCTTTGAGAGCTCTTCAATGTAAAGAAATTTGATGGAAGCACCACAAAGCAAGGAAATCATGCTCTTAAAGAGCCTTGAATTCTAAGAATTTTAAATGCATCATTGCTGTCCTGCCTTGACTACAGAACACCAATGAAAGGACATCAGAGTAAAAAGAAACAAGACTACAGTTAAGTCTGCCTCAAATAACAGGGAAGATAATATGAAAAAAGATCTGAGTGTACAAGCACATAAGTCTTGAAGAGCTGTATATTAGAACTCAAGGTGCCTTAACTTCGCTAGAACACCAGAATTTAGTATTGTGGATCTAGCATAGCTAGATTTCACGTAAGAGAAACCAGCATATGCTTCCAGTTAGGCATGCATACCACCTCACTAATATCCCTTTCCCAACTTGCAGGTTTGGATCTCTTCATTGTTTTATTCCTCCTGTATTATCCCCTCCTTTGGCAGAAATTCTATCTCCACCCAAAAGGAAATACTTCTTGTAGCTACATAAAAGTTCTTAGACATATCCTTCCCCATTCAGAAACCGATTTGCAGATCAATCTTGATCTTCATTTCAATTGTAGATTATGCTTAAGTTATGGCAGCCAGAGTTTGATCCTATGAATGTAAGCTCAACACGAAAAGAAAGCCATTTATCCTTTTTAATTCAGCCTTACAGCATGTTTATCCAGATCTTTAACTTCCAGTTTTAAATTATTTTCTTAGCACTTTAGAGAACCTGTGTGCATCTCCCAAGGGAAATAGCATCACACAGACCCTTAAGTTAGTCCCAAGTTTCCACATGACCATAAGTCTTACTTGTTAAGATAACACCCCTTTTCCAACTACTCCCCCGCACTCCCTCTCCTCCCACCCCTCCCCAGCAATGGGCAATTACTTCACAAGAAATGTAAAATGGGATATGGGTGTACACAAAACCTACCCTCCACTAATACTGAACAGAAAAGCCTATTTTCCAATTACAGGACATCTTCCTCTAAATTTAGGTCAGCACTGGTGCAGTCTGCACTGTGTATTACCACCACAAGGATAATACCAATAAGTACATATATTTTCTTCAAACTGAAGTTTTAAAAGCCTATGAAGTTAATTGGGGAAGTTTAATATTGCTACTTCAGAGCACTAAAACACACAAAGTGAATCCAATAAAGATCCTTGTATTGATTCAATATTAAGTATTAATTGCATGACCATCATAGCACCTCTTTACATTATCACACAATCACCAGAATTATCAACTGCTTTTAAAAACTAAAAAGGGTACAGTCCAATATTTAACTTGCACACTGTTACTATAGAGAAACTAGGTGCATGGTACAGTGCTGCAAAAATGGAAGCCTGCAGTTTTGACAAAGATGCCAAGTCATGTTGTAGACAATTTCAGTCAAACTGGCAATACTGTTTAAGCAAATACTCAACACAGCAGGAAATAAAGGACAAAAAAAGCATTCTATAACCAAATAAACATCTGAAATTTCCTTTCCCTTTAAGAATACAAGTAAGGTCACTTTTAGCCTTGGAACGGATACATGTTCACCTATGATGATCTTGCTAACTACTACACAATATCTGATGTCCTCTGCTAAGAATATAGTTTAAGAAAGCCGCAGTAACAAGAGGCATCTAATGTAATATCTAAAACTTCTTATGGCAATTATTGAATTCATTTGTCTTAAACAGTGAATATGGGAAGATGGCCTCACGTTTCCTTTCAATAGTACTCTGAGGATCAAGTGGCTTTCAAGCAGCATGGTGGGTTTGAAATTTTTGCAGTTTAGATCATTCTGTTGCGTTTATGAGTTGGTGAGTCTGTAATGACATCGCCACACTGGGCTGAGGTACGCTTTCTAGTTCCACCATTGTCCAAGTGGAGTGCCATTTCTTCTGATATGAAAGTGTTCAAATCAACATCATGGAGTCCATTTCTCCTTCGACTAGCATTGGAGCCACTGCTCACGTGAGTAGGAGAGCCTGGGGTACTTGAGCGAACACTTATACTAGCCATTGCACCACTAAGACCTAGGGGGAAAAACAGAAAGAGCATTTAGGTCAAACAGTAAAGAAAGTTCACTTCTGTGTAAAAGGGATGATACTGAGTTAACTTAGTGATATATTACAGGCACTTCATTCTGTTTGTACCACACCTACTTATGTGAAGTCTAGTCCACCTTCCCAGCATTTAGTGCATCTAGAAATCAGAAGAACCACTTTTTATATTTAGAGTGATCTTATACAGCAGGTTGTAACAGCACACTGGAATAAATGGTAGCTCCATAAGCAAGTGACATGCTATGCAGTGTGTACACACCACACAGAACAGGCTACTTCAATGTGAAGGCTTCAGCCTAAACCATTAGTTTCACAGAAGGAAAGTCTCCCAACTAGGGGTTTATTTATCAAGGCCCCTTAATTCTGAAGAAAACTGCAGTATGACATCAGATTATAGATACATTTGCACAGCAACTCATTTAAATAATGAAAAACTACTTTAGGGCTACCACTATTAGCCAACACATTAGTATTCAGAAGAGCATTTAATCAGCAAAGCAAAACCACATGTCAAACCCCCAAAATTTACTACTGGCAGTTCTGATCCAAAACAATGTCACAAGTAACCTGAACATAAAGCAAAGCAACAGCAGGGTGTTACTGTTTATTTTTCTTGTTTAAAATAAATTTCTTGTAGATACATCATGCTGATTTAAACATCTCTTCAGTAACATTACTATTACAACTTAGCTAGCAAGAACAGGACATTCCACAACAGGGTCAGGACATGCAAGACTAACAGTCCTTCTCTACTTGAAATTCAGGCTATAATCTAAGCAAGAGCTTAGTATCTTCACTGCCCTAACTGCTTCATACCAATATTAAAGAGTACAAAAGTCTACTAGCCCTAGAAAACTACCACAGCAGGAATTGTGAGACTGACAGAACAAGATCTAGATCAGTAGACTTTCTAGCAGTAAGAACAAGCAAATTAAGTTCTCCAATAAGACTTCCTTATTAGTAACCCTGACGATCTTGAGCTCTTCGATGTCTTCACCAGTCACAAGCACCCTGTACCTTTGTCCAGCCATCACACACACTCTGATCTGTGTGCACTGCCACATCATATGCAGCTAGGCAGCCAGCAGCCACACAGGGACAAGTAAAGCCTAACCCAACCCTACCTATCAGCTGCCAATAGGTCAAACAACTGGCTTCAAAGGCTCTGTGAAGCTCAGCTGTAGAAGCTACCTTATACACAAGCTCTGCTTTGGGGTTAGGAGAAATTCAGTTACCTGGCAGAACAGTTGACAGAACAGCTTACATCCGGCATGTTTCTTGACCAGATGAACTACATTCCATGTAAGTATTAAAGTATTAGAAGTGTGCTCTGAAAGTCTGATATTCCTATTCTTTACCAGAGCTAGGCTGCATTGCAACAAATGCAGCACACAGCATACACATTCCCTCAGTCAGCATGTATTAGGTTAGATAATCTCCACTGTTTCAGGTTTGGTCCCTGAATATCTCTGCCATTAAACAAACCAGTCAGAAACCTGACCACTTGTCAAATTATGAAATAGCACCTAGACTGCTATCTACAGTACACAGTATCTCCTGACAAAGAGTTTAAGACAAAAAAACACTAAATACCTCAGGTAGAAGATAAATTGCTTCTAAACCTAGCTGCAGTGACAGCAGGTGAATACACAAATCAGGATGGGGCAGGTCCAGCCATTTCACTGTTGTACAATAATGCTGAATTAATATTTAAAGCTCATTCTTTCAGTATTACAGGATATACCGTGCATACTTAGAAGAAGCATGATTTAAAGCCTGACTAGAATCCTGTAGTCATCTGCCATCTACAGTGGCAGAAAGTACTTGAGCAGAAACTTGGGGAGGTTACAAATCACTGCACAATTCAAAGACAGCAGCAAGTTTAATTTCAACTGATACAATATACCTTAAAGCATGAGTTCATGCCATGCATTTCAGTTGGAAAAACTGACAGCACAGAGGGTGGATGTTCTGACATCATTTCAAAGCCTAGTTGATACTTTGATTTGGAATCAGTGTGGGGAAGTTTTCACAAACTGCTCTGAACACAGATTCAGTACTGTTACCTCCACTGAGAATCACCAGCTTACACTACTTACATCAGTCATCTACTGTTGTTACATGCAGCTCTTAATTAAATGGTCATTGTGTTCTTTTTCTAAAAAATCACAAGTGTATTCTAAATAAAACAAAAAACTGTCCTGTGAGGTAAGAACATGTTTTTAGGCACCCAAGAGCTGTTTTTAAATAGAGCTTTATCAAGTAAGGAGCATTTTAAAACAATAGATACAAATTTAGAATTAAAATACATATCCAATATGCTGCAACACATTCTAAAACACACTGACAAGGTTTGCAAGCAATGCCTCAAGCAGGCATTTATTCTTCAATATTTACATAATACTGAACCAATGCAAATTTAAATTCAACACCACCCTCTAGGAAACTATTTGGAAGGTAAAAACTTCAATCAAACCTGGTGCCAATGGCAGAAGAGTTGTTTTGATTTAGTTTCTACAGAGATCAGAACTTGAGGGCATTATATCATACTTCTATTACTGTTTAATTTTGCATCTGGTACCAACATTTAGTAATACTGATGTAATAAGCAAGTCTTTACATAGTACACTAAAATTGTTACTGTGAGTCTGTTGTCTCAGTTACTGTATTACATAGCATTACAAACGCATTACAGTTTAAGACCAAGCAATCAAATTAATATGGGAGAGTCAAAGAAAATTCAAGGCATGTACTGAAACCTCGAGTTGCCATTTCATGGAAGCAGTGTCTTCAAAGACACTCAGCAATGCAACTGAAGAGATGTGGTTCTTGTTGACAGAGCACCTTTTTGAAGCAATGATCCACAGTTCATTTCTTCTAGTAAAGAAGTGGTCATGTAAAAAGAATCTCAAAACCCATTTATTGTGAATTATTCTGAGATAAAGTTTTCAATGTATTTCAACACATCTACCAAAGCATTTAAACATTTAAAGCAGTAAAGGAGGCAGTAATATATATACTAAGAAAGATTACATGATTGTTAGCGACACCGTTTCACAGCCTCAAACTTCTATACTGTGATTAACAGGACCTAATCACAGGCACATTAGTTTTTATCTACACAACAAGACAGATTCAAATAGCTACTAAGGCTTTAGTTCTTTCCTTACCCCATGCTTACCTCTGAAGTCTCTCACTTCCTACATTAGAAATCTTTTTCGCTACAGACACTTAAGAAACATGTATTTCTCTCCTTTTTAAAACTTGACAGAACTGCATGCCATATCCAAAATACTTTACAGTACTACTTACATTCTTATTCCTGCTCTTCCTTTTTTCACAAAAACCTACTTGCTTCTGAAAAATGCATGTAGATCATTTTATAACACTACTAGGAAAAGTAGGAATATGGCTATCACACCATCACACTGCTTTGAACTTCTCATTTACAGTCATAGTATATATTAGCACTGACTTAACTGAAGCTTTATGAACTACAAGTTGAAGTTTTACCTGCACTATATACATGTATGTCCACAATAAGTTACTTCAGGTCACTACCAAAGGATCACATCCTGATTAACTACTGCTCAGCACAGCAGTATTAACTACTGTTTTCCAGATGTTTTAATCAGCAAGTATCAAAAGGAACATCCACCTTAAGTTCACCTAAAGCAGGAATTAACCCAAGATACATACAGAACAATACATAGATCCTTCTCACCCTTCTATGCTGTACTTCTACATTACTGCTCATAGACCAACTTTCAGCAGCACGTAACACAATCCTATGACATGCATATACAGAATCTTCATGCCAATTTAAACCCTATGAAACTAACCTGTACTGTCCTCCCATCTCAACTTCCACCAGCTGTTTCTTCACCACTTTTTTTTAAAACTAAAGACACTCTATATTGCAATTTAATATTTCAAGACAAGATAAGACCTAATGGAAGTTTAGGGTTTTAAAGGAACCAAGCCACACACATACACATAGTAACATAAGGGTTTGCCCCACTTGTTTGGGACTGAATTAGTGATATACATCAACATTAAAGCTAACAAGCAAAAGCACTAACACTCCCTCACTGTGCTGTTGACCCCAATGCATCCCCTTAATGCTTTTAGTATTAAGTATACTGCTTTTCAATACTGCCTTCCTAGGCTTGCTTCACATCTTGCTGAAGTGATAGCACTTTCTCCCATTATGCTGAAAGACTGGTTTGTAGAGCATGGATAGCATCCCAGATTAAAATCAGATATCATTTACAAGCAGGATGTGGAGAACCACCAGCACACAACATGTAGTCCTGCAGACAAACATAGCATGTTAGCTGTATCAAGACAAGAAGCAACCAGGCACATGTCAACTTCGGGGAATTTTACTACTGTCAGCTCAATTTGATGTAATCTTTATTTGAAAGTCTTCTTTTACAGAACTGGGATACATTAATACACATTCAGGAAGTACATAAAAATGCATCTACATCTATGCTAACTGCAAGAATGATTTAGGGTTAGGTGGATGTTAAAACTCAACTTTGAAGAGCTGAACAAAAACATATTTCAGTATCACATCTAAGAGTTCATTGACATTAGATGCAGTTCTTCACATTTCAGAAACATCCACTTGGACCTTGGGGTAAGAGATCATACATTACCTTGAGCTAACTGCTCAGTGTTTAAGATCTGAAAAGTTAGTCTTTAATATTGAGTTTCTAGCCATACTTGATTTCAAGGGTACCCTCCAGTACAACAATAATGGAGGGCTAACATTTCTACTTGCCAGAGTAGACTCTCTCAGTATTAGTTCATTCCAAAAAACTCATCCTACAGTACCTATAAGTTACACTACAGGATTTCAGTAACAGGTCAATTACTGATATAACTACACTGTGAAGAGATAGATCACATACTATAAAAGCTTTTTCCAAGTGTAGCTTGCCTTAACATTGTTTTTAGCTACTGTGAAGAGTCTTCCCCAAGTATCACAAAATGAAGTTTGTTTTGAAATTCCTAGCTTTTGTCAAGAAAGCCATTAACCATCTTGCTAAGCTACAATATAGGCCAGATAAAACGAGGTTTAACACTGCGGAAGCAAGGTTAAAAATACAGTTTTAGAACACTTTCATGCACAGCTACAGCTTAAAGCTTCATAGCTTATTTTGTGTCTTACACGCATGCTTATCTGTTCCATTAAACGAGACTATGCTTAAAACAGCAAGTTTCAGTATCACCCTCAACTGTTTCAACCCATCCATGCTACCAACAGAGGAAATACTCCACTTCCACAGGAAACCTATCAGCATAAAAAGCCACTTCTTTACACAGTAGCCAAAAACTCTGCTTAAAGCCTTAATCCTGAACACTGGCTAAGATTACTACTCACTACCATCAAGTTTTCTCACAATGCTTAGAAGCAGATCACATTTAAACAGCCTGACAAAAATGCACATGCACAGCCCTACAAAGTACTTCAAATCATGAACACCTGCAGATCATTCACAGGTTTCAAAAATAGTTCTGAGAAGACCAACAATAAATAGGATAATAGTTCAGGAGTAGTTTGGTCACTAGTTCCCTAAAGGACAGGAAGTAGATGTAGGAATGCTCATTGTAAGCAACAGCCTAGAAACAATTATAGGGCCCAACACAAGCTTAGTCACTAAAGATGTAGCATAAGTAGTAAGAAAGACCAGATATAAACTGATATTGGGGAAAAATTAATCCAGGTGACAGACATGTAATCTCATCAACCACCTGATGGCAAATACACTTCCAGCCCCTACAATGCATTACAGTGCAGAGAACTTCCCACAGTGCTCTTGAACCTTACGTCTTTCATATTGCATTAACTCCTCCTTCAGTTTTGTGACTTCCATGAAATACCTCTATCAAGCAGATGCTAAGAAACAAGGATCTGCTCTAAGGAACCTGTTCTGGCAGGGGAGTTGGACCCAATGATCTTTCAGGGTCCCTTCCAACCCCTTCAATTCTGTGATTGTGACAATAACTATACTACCAGTGAAAACACAAGCTGACTGTGCTTGAGAGAACTATCTGCATTGATATGTATCTGCAGCAGTTGCCTTGATGAAATCAGCTTAACCTAGTGAATAAGCAGTACTGGTACACAATTCTCTAGCCAGCCTCCAGTATGAGAAGGAAAACTGCCAAATACTACATGACTAGGTGGCAGCAGCATGCTTCATTGAAATGGCAACAGAGCAGCAAACAATACCAGGCTGCTGGTATTAGGCTGTCACCTAGACAGTAACAGTGTCTGGCTTACGTATCTTGATAAACTGCCACAAAGCAGAAGCAAAGACTGCATTTTCAGGAATCCACTCATCTAGTTAACTCATTAATTCTATTCCCACTGAGGATTATAGAACTAGCTACTGAACATCCTTACCTTAGAAAAATCTACACCACCACCATTGCTGATGACAGCAAGGAAGCTCAGTGTCTTCAAAATTCTCACATACTAAGACAGGGAACTAGAACTGAGTTCTGAACAGGACTCTTGCCGTGAGGTGAGCCTACAACACCCCTTTCCAGTGTACTTCTTGAAGCAGAAGACCACTGTGTTAACTTGTGCAAAACAAAAAAGGACACTAGAGTGAGGTAAGGCTCCCCAAAGACAAAATTCCAGACATTGGATTACCTCCCCTACCCTGCACAGATCTGTTAGCTACTTGTGACTAGCCAAAACTTAATATTTAACTAGTTGCTAGCATAGTATTATCATTTTCCAAGAATTCTGTTTACTTTAGCATTGGTACAAATGTCAAGTCTTTGTGCTTCAAAAATGCTACCAGAAGTTGATACTTAGTTCTATAGCTCTGAACTCTGTTAGGATCCAAAGTATATTTTTATACAGTACCTTTTCCTTACTCACAATGTGACAATGCAACTTTTTAGTTACTAACAAGCTTTATACATGCAGAACTGCTCTTAGAGAATTAGGTAAATACCATCAGCTGGAACTCACATACATGACATTAGGACACCAACAGTGACCAAGTGCCAAAGCATAAGAGGAAGACACTTTAAGAATCCCCACCCAATTTTAACCAAGTAGTATTGAAAAAATTACTGTTACCATGCAGAGCTATGGCTTCACGGAAGGGTTGCAAATCAGTCTCTACAGATGAGCTAGTTTCTGTGGAAGTAGCTCGGTTAGGGGATACTACAGTCAGTCTTGGGGGAGCTCTAGAATTTCTTGGAGGAGGAACTTTTCCACATAGGAAGCTGATCAAGTCTTCTCTACGAATAGTTCTTCTGCGTTTTTTAACCCACGCTAACACATCCTTATTCCGACGCTGATAGCCAATCTGAATTCCTACATCAAAGCTTCGCTGATGGGCATCCACACTCTCTGCAAGAAGACAGAAAAGTATTCTTAGTACATGTTACAGGTGAAACATATAGCATGGTACATCACCGATATGGCTTCCTGTCAACCGTAAGCATTAAGCATTTCTTCTACCTGTCATTATGGAATGATGCATATTAAACCGGAACAGAACACTAACAGAAGGAGTTCCACTTCCCACCCAATGTTACAAGTCAGAAAGTTAACAACCCAAACACCACAGAAATAGCACATTTGCTATACTACATGTCAACAGCACAGCACTAGTTAGTAAATCATACTGCATTAACATTAAGATCAGAGGTCGTCAGTCTGAAACAGGTACTTAACAGACAAGTATTGGCTTAAGGAGCAGCTGCATGTTTTGACTGCGTTCTTGAAGGAGATCAGCACAGTTAGAAAAACCCACATAAAGGAATAACATTTTCTCAATTCCAACAGAAGGAATTTTCAGGAAACTCCAATTTCTTTAGAGTCCTTCTAATTTAAGTTCTCTGCAGAAACAATTTGCAGGAGACCATAGTTTATGAAAAAATAAAGCAGTATCCCCAATGACTCTCCATTAAGCAGCAACATTCACAAAGGAAGCCTCAAGTTTTCTTTCCCTATTTAGGGCCCATTAGAATTTTTATACACAGAAGCTTGAAGTGTGCTGCTTGTAATTAAACCTGCTACAAAAAGCAATTTAATTCCCCATTCATGTTAATGGTCATCCGCGTACAAAAGTACATTTCACCTCTAAAAGGCACTCCTAAATTATTTGCATTGCTTTCAAACTTCAGTAAGTACATTTCTGGCTACTAGTTTAATAACAAGAAAATTTCACAGAAAAGTAAAAGGTGGGACAAGCCATATTTCTCTACTCAGTAATGCCTATCTTGAGATAGATTCAGAGCTTTGCCAGCAACTGTTTCAATTTTATAGAAGCTGCCACCATGTTAGCTCTTACTCCATTAAAAGCAAAATAGTATCCACTCCAATTCCACTTACTCTATTTTCCATATTTTTTTACCTGGCAAAGATAATTAAAACTGCTTTTTGTATTCTTGCATTACTAATGAAGTCTAATGTAATACTGTTCTGGGCAGCCAGCTTTTAAGAACAGCTGTTCAAGACACTAGTTTGCAGGCAAATTGACATATACATCTAACATAGTTCTCACATACAAAAATGAAGAATAATCACTTAAAATGTTTAAGAAAGACATTTAAGTCACCAGTGCACAACCCCCAGAAGAGAGCACTAAAACCAACGCTACCAAATGCTCTCCAAACAGAATACAACTTACCAGGAGAAACATCTCAAACTAATCATACTTTAAAAGCCGCAAGACTTTACTGTAAGCTGTACAGGTACACTGAGAACATTAACACATTACTTCCACTCTTTATTAAGAGAATTTTTCCCTATGCTGCTTTGTAACCAAAGGACTAGAAGACTTACAATTGCTAATTCCTGTCAAAGCAATGGCAACATGACAGATGACTCCTCCAGCCATTTTATGCTCCACAGCATCTAAGACTCCAATGCACTACTAAAAGCTACCCAAACACTTCACAGCTAGTTTGGAAACTGGCAGCATTCCTTTAATCCCTTCCTGAAATACCTTGAGAAAGTCCTAAGAAATAAAGAGCCCAACTTTACATCAACAACCTGCTCTTGTATACAAGAACACTTAACAAAGGGCTAACTAGAAATTGTTATGAGGTCAAACACTGACTACTGATGTACCCTGGACAAATTTCAAGCATTGTTACCCTGGGAAAGATTAGACTTGCATTAAAAGCTACAGCTGCTTTGTTTACAAAGTTCAGATGGCAAAATACACACGCAGTCAAGCTGCCTACATTTTGCAATTATGAAGTACTACCACCACCAAAAATACAGCATTTATTAATAAGGTAAACAATAGGCTCAGAAAGTCATTCTAATGACTAAAACTTTCTACAGTGCTCTGAAGTTCCAAGCCCTACCTTAGAAAACAAACCTTCACTTCTTCACTGCCACCTGGAAGAAAGTCTGTTGTCTTGTCTTTCAGTTAGGCCTTGATCACCAGCACCCATTCTGAGACTGGCAATCCAAGGCCTGCACACTGTGGTATATTCAACTTTTAATCTATTTTAAAGAAAAAAAACACTGATATTCAAGATACCATGACATTCTCCTAACACATTGTTCCTTGTGTTGCTACTGTAAAGCTTTGGATGCCTCAGTTAGCAAATCAGAAATCTGTTAATGGGGCAAGACAGTTTGCAACCCTTAGCCATACCAAGTAGTTCTACAATGCTTTGTCAAAATTCTTCCAAATCAAACCTCAGTATGGGAGAAGCCACAGGATATTTATGAGCAGTTTATGACTAAAGGCAAATTCACTTTAAGAAACTCCAACTTATGGGGTATGACATTGGTCATAGATGGTTCTAGGCATGTTCTCAAATATCTCCACTTAGGAAGTTAAGTGAAAATTCCAAGACAGACTGTACTATTACTTCAGCACTGAGACCATTCTAAGGAAAGACTTCCAGAGCTACTTTTGAAGTATTAAGTCATACCTGGCTGAAGACTGCTTCCTACTTAAATTCTTGTTTCCCGATCCTTGACAAACCACACATTCAGCTGTTAATCACATTATTGCAGGGAAAGATAGGCCTCATTTTGCCTATAACAAAAGTAATCAACTGATTTCAGCAAAAATAAGCAGCCTTAGACTTTGTAGCAAGGATGCTGTAAAAGCCAACACATTTTGTGAAACAGACAAATATCCACTGCTACTCCAGCTGCATGCTCACATGACTGGTGTCCCAGGCCACGTTTTAGTGACCAACTCTCTCAGGCCAACTTTGTGCTGTTAACTAATGCCCCTTTATACAACCTATCACACATATACAATATTCACATGCACTTTTTGCAGGAGAGTCAAGTCTCTATCAGTGAAGGTTATTTACCTTCATTTACTCTTTGCTTTCCCCACATTTGTCAGAAACATGATAAGCTATCACAAACATTACTAAATTCAGTTGTTTAAAGCAATTCCCACAAACCAGGGAACTCAAGCAAAAAACTTGCAGGATGTACAAGTATTACTGTACAAACCAAGGAAAAAACACCCCAAACACTCAAAAAGCATGGAAAACTTCTATCAGAAGAAGAAGTTTGGAACTTACTGTTTCTTCCCAGTAATGGAAGACAGTAATAATGGGATTCATACTGTGCCAATTCAAGCCTCTACTCAAATTATTTCTGTACAATCTTTTGACCAAATTAGAAGCCACTGACTGATTCTTCTGCAGCAAAGAATTCTTGTGTCAACCCAAAGAACATCAGAGTTCAGAAGCAGGCCTTGATCAACAGAAACAGTCAAACAGCACAAAAGCACAGCCATGTACAAAGTGCATTCTTATCAAAGCTCTGGCTAACATTGCTTTCTTATAGACACCCTAGACACAGTCATTACATGATTCAGGTGCTTAAAATAAACCAGGAGGCTTATTTAGGAAGCCTCACTGTCACAAGAACAAGTTTTATTTTCGCCACAAAGCAACTATGCAGGACTCTGCAAATACTAAACTTAACTTATACTTCACAGATATGCATTTATCATACTGATATCCCAACATTTAATACACCATGAAATACACGATATGCAGGAAATTTTAGTACTGAAGAAGCTATTGCACTCTCCCCTTGAATTCACAAGGCAGATTAGTAGCGCCCACTTTCAAGGATCTCAGAATAAAACAGCTTTTAAGTTGTTAATCACTAGCATCAGGCAACAGAAAAGATTCAACTACTGTCAGCTAAAGTGGCCCTGGGAAAACTTGCAAGATTCAGGAAGCAGTCTCGGGTTAGATTTTATCAGCATGAATAAGAGACATTAACAGTCCCTATTTATGAGTAAGCCGAGGCAGGAGGCCGAGTGGGACTCGGCAAGGAGGGCTGCCAGGGCAGTGGGAGCAGCCCCTTACCTTTGTAGAGGTTGGTGACCGCAGTGGCTGCATTCTGGAAGGGGACCCAGAGGGAGAGCCCCGGCTGCTGGCACACCCGGTCTGCAGGGAAGGAAGGACACACGCTGTTTATTTTGGAGTCACTAACTCCGAACGGCCATGTTAGGTTTCGCCATTTTGTTCCACCTTCCAAAGGCAACTCGGGAGCGGGGCCGGGAGGGACGGACCGGCTGCTGCCCGGACCGGGGCACCGGGCACGGCGGAGGCGGCCGCAGCCCGACGGGGAAGCGCCGTGCCCTGCCCCCGCCCGCAGCCCCCGCCGCACAATGGGGCCGGCCCCTCACTTCGCCATTTTGTCGGAGCCTCTTCCCCGGGCTGGGCGGCAGGAGCCGCCGCGGGCAGGGCCGGCCTCCCCCCAACCCTCCCGCCCCCGCAGCTCCCCGGGCCCTCCGCGGGGCTCGCCCCCGCTGCCCGGCACCCTCCGGGCGCGGCCCCCCGTCGAGGCCGCCCTCTCCCGGAGCCGCCGCCGGGCGCCCCGGGGCCCTCTCCGGCCTCCCCCCGGGGCCGAGCCCCCGGCCGGGCCTCGGCAGCCGGCCCGGGCCCCTCCGCTGGGGGCCGCTACGGGCTCGGGCCGGGCAGCGGCGGCGGCTCGCCCCTCACGCCATTTTGTTTTCCCGGCTGCCTCTATGGACGGGCGCGGAGCCCCGGGCCGGAAGCCCGCTCCTCCCCCTGCCCGGGCCGCTGTCGCCGCAGCAGCCCCTTCGCGGCCCCGCTCCCGACCCCGGGGCCCCACTCCCGGCCCGGCCCCGCACCGCCGGGCTCCCCCCTCCGCTGTGCGCGGCCCCCGCCCGGCCTCGCTCGGGGCCGGCCGCCCCCTCGTCCCCGGCCCTTCCCACCGCCCCCAGCCCCCCCCCCCGCGGGTGCCCCCCGTCCCCGCTCACCCTTGTAGAGCTGCGCCACGGCGGTGGCCGAGTTCTGGAAGAGGTGCCAGAGCTTCTGCTGCTTGTGCTCGGGCTGCGCCGCCGCCTCGTCCTGCAGCTCCGGGGCCAGCGCCTCCTCCTGCTCGGCCTCGGCCAGGCACTGCCGCTCCCACTTGCTGAACCAGTGCTCGGGGCCGTGCTCCTGGATCTCCGCCTCGCCCTCCTCCTTCTTGTCCTCCATCCTCCGGCCGGCTCCGCGACCCCGCCGCGCAGGCCCGGCCCCGCCGGCCGGCCCCGCTCGCCTCTTCCTCCTCGCCCGGCCCGGCCCTACCTCACCCCCATGCTCCCGGGCGCGGCCCGGCCCGCTCCGTCAGTCGGCTGCGCACACACTGAGCGCCGGCGCCGCCCCGAGCACAGTAAAAGCCCGGCGGAGCCGCCCGGGAACGCGCCGCCGCCCAACGCCCGCCCCGCAGCACAACTGGCCGCTGCTGCCCCGGCACCTCCGGTTTGAACGGCAGCGCCCCGTCCCATTGGCTGCCCCGCACGTCCATCAATGCGCCGCGTCACGAGGGGCGGGGGCGGGCCGCGGATTGGTCACCCCGTCACAGACCCGTGCGCAGACGTTGCCGGCCGCCAGGCGCAGGCGCAGTGGGGCTCCCCTCCCGCCCCCTCCCCCCGGCCGTCGGCCCGGCCTTGCCCCTCCCGCTGGCGGGAGCCCTGAGGCGGCTCCGCCCGCGGCCGCCCCTCGCCCCCCGCCGGGACCGCGGCCCTGAGCGGCCCCGGGGGCCCTGAGGCGGCGGCGGCGCGGGGCCGTGAGGGCGGGGCGGGGCGGGGCGGGACGGTCCTGCCATCTTGGCGTCGGAGCCGTCCCCGAGCCGGGCGAGGCGTTGCCCCGCCTCGGGCTTCCCCCGGCTGCCGGCACTGACAGGCGGCCGCCCCCTGACCCGGCGGCGGGGCTCGTCCCCGCCCCGCACGGCGCCGCCGCCGCCCGGCCTAGGCCCTGCTGCCCGGGGAAGATGGCTGCCGGGCGGCCCTGCTGCACCGCCGGGGGGTCGCCGTTGTGCATCGTCCGTTTGCGCGGCGTGAGGCACGGCTCCCATCAGGTGTTGGCAACCGGAGTTTCTTTGTGTCTAAGCCCCTCATTTACCTCACACTCTTCAAAATAAAGCTGTGGAAATCGCGTTCACGTCTTAACTGCTGAAGTCACACTCATGCCCCTCCAAGCCCCTGTGCAAGACACGCCGTGATTTTCTGTAGAAATACCGAAGAGTCGGCGGGCACGTTGTGCTTGCCTCTCTGTGTCCTCTGTGAAATACTTGGAGCTCAACAAACGGCTCCAGTGACAGAGCAGCCGACATAACGCAGCGCCCCCAGGGGAACGGGGATCCTCTGGGAGCGGGGATCCCCCCAGGGCCAGCAGCCAGCACACGGTCTGAAGGCAGAGCCCGGTTCAGCTCCGCGCTGCGGCCACCCGCCGAGTGCAGCACTGTGGGAGTTGTAGTTTCCAAGAGCTGCCAGGGAACTGCTGGCGGTGCTGCAGTGCCTGAGGAACACAAGGGATGAAATTTCCTCAGCCCAGTGAGGAGACCTGGGGGAAGACGACTGAATGTGTGTGTCAGAGCGAGGAAGGAGGAGGATGACTTCAGCGAGGTGCTGTCTCCAAGGCAGCCGGGCCAAGAACGAGCAGGGAAGTCGGCAGATTGAGCAGCCTTCGCCGGCGTGAGGCTGGACGGGCCGTGGTAGCTTCTGGCTTCCTAGGAGAAGACTGGGTTTTGTGCGTGACTGAGATGAGGCTGGCGGTGGATTCAGTAGGGGAAAGAGAAGTACAGTGGTGATGCAATTCCTGTGAAGCCTCCACCCACTTCTTTCAATCCCAAAGAAAAGAAGAAGCTTATATCTGAAATTGTACCTCAAGGACGCACTCAGGTGAAGAGGGGAACTGAGCTAGTTACTGCATCTTAATTTTAGCACAAGCATGATACCCGTGGAAGTATGTAATTCCCTATTCTGGAGCTGGAAATACTGATACAGGCTAGATACCAATAGATATATAATTTACTGTCGTGCTAGCTGTAACATTTATTTAACTGTTTGGGGTTTGTTTGTTTGTTTGTTTGTTTTTTTCTAATGCAGCCCTAAGGTAGGAACTCAGTGAGTCAAAGTTACTTCACAGCTACAACGTAAGCTAGTTGTGCTGTTCTTAATTACCAAAATTCCTGGATGGTGTTGATGTCAACTACAGCAGTTCCAAGAATGCTTCCTTAGTTTTCCTTGTACTAGTCTTGTGAGCAGCACAATATACTCTGAGTCATATAGGATGTTGGGCAACATCAAGGTCCTTTATGCTTCTAGAGATATTTAAAGTGGAATTAAAATAGGTTTATATCACTTTGTTCCCAAGACATAAAAGTTATTTTATGGGTCAGGCTGAATTATGATAAAAACCAATGTCCCTCCATTGCTTTATGGCCAATCTTCATATACCAAGCAGGATTTCTCATCTTTTGGGTGGTTTGGGGGTTTTGTTTTGTTTGTTTGTTTTTGCTCTGGTGCAAAGTCTAAATACGCCTGCAGCTGGTTTTATATCCTCTGCCCAAAGTTTGCAGAGCCAAGGCTGCATGTGAAAAAGTGGATTTCAGACCAGCTCTTCCATATTATTAAACTGGTGTTATACATAAACTAATAGTAATGCATATCCATCTGACCCAAACCCACTACATGTTGGAAACACAAACATTATGAATTGTTTCCTCTCTGGACCGTCTTTTTCATTCAGTCCATACTTGTTCTCATTTTGAACCTGGATCTTCGTACAACTTTCCAAAACATACGAGTAATCAGGCCTAAAAGCATATGTAGTGGAGGAGGAGATGGCATGAAGAAATAGTTAGGAGAACTGCATGTGCGGTGTTTTTTTTTGATCTTTGAAGACTACTAAAAACTAAAGCTGCAGGCTATCATCTTATTTAGACCACTGAGACTAGAGACATCCTGCTTCTGGGTTATGCTATGCTACTACACGTAAGTAGACAGGAGGAAAGTATCCATGCCTCTGTGCATGTGTTCTAACCTGAAGTTGTGGCATTGGCTTTTTTAATGTATGTACACAGAAGCATGGATATTAGTTTTCGTTTTAGGTATGTCTCTGTCAAGTCCATCTTTAGGATTAATAACTTCATCAGGCTTAGGAGTAGGCCTAGGTACAAGCTATTGGTCCTTTATGAATGTACAAAGACTACAAAAATAATAATAAATAAATAAATAAAAGCTTAAATGTTGACAATAAATAAAATTCTGCTTTGTAAGTCATATATTGAGCAGTAAGCCAGTTAGTATGTATTATTGTGAGAAATGGATTTTTCTCCTGTGCAGCTGTGTTAAGGGAAAAAAGGAATGAAAGAAAAATCAACTATCCACTCCACTGAATATCATTTCTTACAAACTACCTACAACTTGGAAACATTCGTTCTTTAGGTTATTAATTTGTTTAAGGCATCAAATAGGAATGTGTGATGGGATTGCAGTCAAGTACTCCCATAAATAGAATACTAAATCCATCTTATCAGACCTTGATCAAAAGGTGAGCAGAAATGCTTCTGTCAACTTCAGCGGGTTTTGCAGTTGCACTCTGTAAGGTGTGAGATCAGAAGTGAGTGTATGTAGCTTGGTGTAGCAGGGAACGTGGTTATCCTGGACTTTGTTTGAAACACATCTGTTTTTCTGAATATTTGTAAAGAGTTGCATAATGTTGGCAACTTTGAAATAAACAGTTGGTTACTGCAATACAATGTAGTGTTAGTCATGATTTATCAAGCATGCAGTCCTGAAATTTGGCTATGACTGATGCCCATTCAGTATAAATCAAGCAGGGAGATGTAAGCCATCACTAGGTTACATAATCCTGAGTAAAAATACAGCAGCCAAATTTCCTGGTTTCGTTTAGAGAGACCTGGATACACAGAGTTCTTGGAAATATCTACATATGATAGAAACTGCTGAGATTTTAAGAGGGTTGTTTGCCTTTCTACGTGTATTACATCAATGGTGATGGGTAACATTTGAGTTGTACTAAAGCAATTTCTGGGACGGTAGTGGGAAGACACTTAGCATAGTTGAGAACTGGCGTATTGAATTTTCCTGCATGTGATCAGATTTAGAGATTTTAATTACATGTAGTTCATAAAATGAGAAAATGTCATTTTTGATAGTATGGATTAAAGAACTTTCATGTGGTCAACACTAACTTCCTTATGCCACATGAAGATAAAAAGGGAAGAAGATAGGGACCTGGGAAAGAAGTGAAGCAATATTGATTTATTAAAGAATTTTTCCTCTCTGTAAATAAAGAACAAGTTCTGTGCTAATCCATCATGACCTGCCATAAGTGGCCTGGAACAAACACAGCTGTGCTGTTATTGGTTGCTGGTAAGTCATTTGTTGGCTAGAGTCAAATGCAAAAAGACTAAAAGATCACTGATTTGTGCACGGCAAATGTGGCACCTGAGTAATCTTGGTGTTTTGCCTCTTAATTTCCCCCATGGGAGCATGGTAGTGATGAGAGAAGTGTGGCATCCCAACTGAAGTCTCTGGGGGGATAATTACTGGAGCATGATGAGGGTATTCTAATTGTAAACGGCTCTGAAGACTTGTTTTATTCCCTTATGCAGACTCTAACTGGGAGTTGAATTTAATGATAAATAATGAAAAACATTTTTTAAATAGGAAAATACAGAATTGGGAGAGGAGGAGGGTTTATTGACTGGCATGTATTCAAAGGGAACACTAATATTTTTTAATATTTAAATGTTTCGATGGTTGATTGTAGACATGAAAATGGTTCCTCAGTGCTATGGCCAAAATTGTGAATACTTGTACAAGAGAACTTTCATGATGGGTTAGGCTACTGGGGGAACTGAAGAGATCAGCTATTCATTTCACCAAAGCTTAAAAATAACCTGTCTGAGTGACAGTATTTTCATTTCTCCTCTCTATTTCGTCCTTTGGGATCAGACTCTAGGTATGCTATCCTAAAAAATTAAAAAAAAAATAATAAAAAAAAAAAGTAAATAAAAGCAGGGAAGCAGGGAAGGAAATTGCTCAACTGGAAATTGCAATGTTTCTCAGGCAAAAGTTTTCAGCCCAAGTCAAGCTGAAGTAAGCAGGAGCAAACCAGCAGCAGGTTTCTTCTCTGAGAAGTCTGGCTTACAAAGAACATGGCACGCTGACTGTAGCATACCAGATAATCAAGACTGTTTAACCTGTTATTGACGTAATCCGTTAGGCTTTTATACATGTATATATTGACTTGTTACTACTATTCCTCACTGAATAACCTGAACAAGAAGAAAACCTGTGAAGCAGGAAAGAAGGGAAATAGGATAAAACTATTTCTTTCCCAGCTTATGTTGAAAAGCAGTTTGACTCGGTGGGAACAAGATTCTCAAAACCTCACATGGAGGCTCTGTTACTGAGACGATTACACAGTCCAGAC